AAAAATAATTTAAAATACATGATCCTAATAATAACTTTTTCTCCAATTTCTGACTCACTTTTTATCCAATCATCTAATTTTGAAAATAACATATCATATCAGCACTAAACAAATTCAATACGATAATTCAGACAGTTTTTCCTTATCTAGTGTTAAACGGTTGAATAATTCAATGTCTGAGAATGAACTCAACAGGATAAGGAGGAACTGAAAAAAAACCGAAGAAGACACGGAGCAAAGTAATCACTTTTTTCGACACTTTTTTAAAAAAGATTTTATAAAAAAAAAAATTTTTCTACGGCAAGATAGAAACGCATAATCTGTCCCAGAGCAATTTCTAATAAAAGCATGTCCTATGAGACGCTGAAGAAGAGAAGCTAAATAAAGAATTGCCTAGTGTCCTTGATTAACTTTTCAATCGAAATGAAAGATTTTCGACTAGAACTTCCGAAACGGAAAGAAGCGGAAAGAAGATGTTTCAACTGCGATAAAAGCAGGTCCACTCCCAAAAAATTGGGTAAGGGTCCGGCAAGGAACCGGACTTTCAATTCCTGCAAGATGACCGGTCACTAAGAGAGTACTTGGCAATGGCGAAAAACTGCAGACAGAGGCCGCTTGGGCCTTTTCCACGGGGATGATATCTCAAGTGATCTTTCACCGGAGCTTAAAGGCATATCGTCCTAAAGTGAAAAAGGCAGAGGGATGGTAAATGATTGCCAGGGAGGATCGCACAGCTGGGATTTAGTTGGCTGAAACAACTATATCCTCATATCGAGTTGTAGGTAGCGGGGGCAAACCCAAGAGTGTAACGATAGTGAGTAGCCGTTTTCGAAGTTTACTATCGGGGAGTTCAACTATATTTTGGAAATGCAGATTCAAAAGCTGACGCCGATTGGTCAGGAGGACGACCAAGTCAGGGTTTATGAAAAAAATCCCCTGAAACTAATGAGGAAGATGAAATTGACACTGTACACAAAAGGATCTACGACAGATGAGGTCATCGACGACATCGGTGGTTGTCAACTATCGATTATCGAACGGGCCTGTGAATCAGGCATCCGTGGGGAAGTGATGAACATTCAAGGTCAACCGATTCAAGAGGAGCAAGAAGCAAGTAGCGGCATGGAGAAGCCTCTGGTTGGCTGACAGGAACACTTTAAAAAAACAATTTCATAATTTTTTTTATTTTACACGTGGAACGAATACGTAACTATAAGGTTCAAGCGGAGATATTTGAGAACCTAACTCCGGTGCAACAAAATATCGGGCAAGCGCCTATCACCATTCTGGACAATGTTGAAATCAAAAATGATGAATTGCTAAAGCAAGGCCTTATCGAGAAATTAGAAGAATGATCGAATAATTTTTTGTATCGCTGTTCTTTTTAACGCTTAGGAAGGACGCCTCGCAAAACCAGCATTGAAATCTGATGACAAAAGTACAGGTTTTACACAAGTACGCAAAGAGTAAAACCAAAATGCGATTTTTTTAAATCAGAAAGTTGAAAATTGATTAAGCTAATCACAAAACTAATGAAAAACTGATTAGTCAAGTACAAAAAAAAACTAAAACCGAATTACGAACTTGTAAGAACTAATGGATTTTGTCGGGCAAACAAATGGCGAACAAAAAGCAGGAGAGAGTCTTTCACTACTATGAATCTTACGTATGAATCCGGACACTAGTAAGCATCGCAATTTCTCTCAAAAAGGGGGAACATCTACAGGTACTCATTTATTGAGAATCGTTTTCTACAGTACGGCTACGCTGCTTTCGGAATTCTAAGGGCTCTTGGATTCTAGAAAAAGCAAAATTCCAGGAGTGCATGCATTTAAACGCGAAATTTTAGCAATGTCATGGAGTAGAGATTTTGAAAATATCGCAATGGTGAAAAAAATACTACAGAAACTCGATCGTGAAAAATGGTTTGAAATTGCAGAAAAACAGTTCCACAAAAAAGGAATCAAATGACTCTCGTTAGAAAAACAGAACCAATAGATAAAACAAATCTGCCGAAATTGCTGTCAAACTGATATCTTCTTGGGCTCAATGCACAGTCTCTATAAAAACCGACCGGCGCTCGCAAAATAGTCGGCGCTCTTTAAAGCTCTGCTTAGCAAGAAAAGCAAACTTTAATGGATAACGGAATGTGAAATAGCGTTCCAAAGCCTCAAAAATCAGGGCGCATTTATAGTCAAATAGAAACATTTTGACGAACACCATTGGCTTGGGGCGGTGATGGAGCAACTTAGCACCCAGGCTTAGACACCAATCCCATTCGCATTCCTGTTTTTTTTGTGAATCAACTAGAAATGTTAGCCGTGGGAGAGAATATTTCAGCCACTGCATAATTCGGAAGATATTTAACGGTTATAACTGATCATAAGGCGCTGGTAACCTGGATGAAAAAACAAAGAGGATAACACAAGGTTTAGCCATTTGACATGGTGGGTGAATTATTCTCATTAAGCAAATACAAGGCAAAACTGCTGTCGCAAGAGGGTAATTTTATAGGCGCTAAAACGTCGACCAGTCAGAAAGCATATCAGCATATCAGCATGCCAGTATCGGTAAGGCAAAAAACAGTTGGTCACTTTATTGAGTGAGTGTTTTAAGTAGTTCAATTTAATCCACAGTCAGCTCAAATTCGGCCATTGTTTTTTAAACTTAAGTATCAAATCAAAAAATCTCTTAGTTATTCTCTCGAAATCCAAATATTAAGAATGGAAGCACCTCATCAATCAAAGTCGTGGACGCAAAACTGGAGGCGATGACGAGTGAGACAGCCAGTGTAAAAAACGCCTGAGTATCGACACCGTCAGTGTTCAAAGGTGAACTCTTTGGGCTGGTGTTCACCAACAACATTGTAGTGACTATCGTCCCGTGAGACAGTGAAACAGTGAAGAAAATCGACTGTTTTTCCGCGAGTTTTAACTCGAAGTTGATCGAAACTAAACCCAAGGCCGGCATACAGCCTGAGACATTCAGGCACATAATCGTGACAAAAGATCAAAAATCTGGAGGAGAAGGTGCAATCTATGTGGGCGTACCTGGGGCAATCACAACATGATGTTTTTCAAGGTTAGAAAAAACAGCCTGCTGATGGATGAGCCGCTGGTGTTTCAAATCTACTGAGGAGCGCGGTAGTTACCAGAGTTCATAGCTTCCTTCATTGGAAAACGAAAACTATTGACGCGGCGGGTGCGGGAAGAATGGCTCCCCAACATCCACAAGAGTTTGGTGGCTATCACATAAGACTATCAGGTATGTAATGCGCTGGATAAAAACTTAAAGTCAATGTGCACCAAATCTAATATTGGAACAGTGCAAGAACCTAGCTAGGGAGCCAAACGAATGTCTAAAACCGAATTTTTGGGACATATTGTTTACTTAAAATAATCCGAAAATTTTTTCCTGGTACCGATAGAAACTTTTTCGCGCTGGTCACTTTGCAACAAAGTCGGAAAAAAGACCCCAAATTTTACAACTCAAACAACGGAGCAGAAAAATTTTATGGACCAAGGTTCCAGTTTCTCATCAAAGGCGGGAAAATCGAACTTAATGGCAAAAGCATTGGAATTGCCACCCATTTTGATACGACAGCCAATTTGATGGAATAAGACTAAAAAAATTGAAAAACCCTGCATCGAAAACGCCAAAAAAATATTCGAAAAAGCGGTAAATTATGTTTCAATGATAAGTTATTTGTGCTATTTTGAGAGAGCTCAGAAACTCAACTGTTTTCTGCCTAAAAACTTCAAATAAAGTTTCGCGAATTGCTCGAAAGTAAAATCTAATTTACTTGTTGTCATTTTCGTGAAAATCAAAGTTCACTGACCACACTGAAATTTCGTCGATAATAATTGAATATAATTTTCTATCACGTTCAATAGCTTCGAATTACAAAATTATTATGGAACAAAATTAACAACAAGTACCAGCTATAGGCTCCTTAAAAGTGATGTCGAAAAAGAATTCAAGTATTGAAGTATTTTTTAAGAACGACGGAAGAAATTTTGAGAAGGAATTGCGAAGGAAACTGGGGACATAGAAGCCTACTACACACGCGGTTAGATTTAGCACCCACGTTACTGCGACGTGGATTGGAGACAACGGAGAAAGCGAAGGAGCCTGGTTATTCAAGCCAAGATTCACAAGACTCAAGCCAATACGAAACGGGATCAAGGAAGAGTTTGCGAAGTTAGAGGGCTCACGATCGAACATTTATCCCGAAGGGAAACGAGGGAGAAACGGGTAAGTATACGGAATGCGAAGAAGGAACTAAAAGCCGCGATATACTCATCAAAAAGTACATCAAACAAAATGCCCAGGGAGAGGGTTGACCAAAGGTCTAAAACTCTAAAAGATTTTAGTTTCAGACAACTTTAGATTATGATTGAGAGTTTATGAGCGGAGCGAAATGTGATGTATAGATAAATTAGTGTCAATTAGTTTGGAGTTTAAGTTTTGTTCATTGTCGGCCTTGGAGCTGTGCGTCACTTCGCCGCCAGTTTTGATTAGTACCTGCCAGTCATCCAGCGAGCAAATTGGAGTGCTAAATCAGTGTTGTTGGTTTCAATTTGGATTAAAGTTGGTGGACAAATTATATTAAGAAATTACCGTATTGAATCCGGCGTTTTTTGTCAATTCCAGCTTGACCCTTGATGAACTTTTGGCCCGTGGTAGTGTACCTTGCGAGGATCACAAATCACAAAAAGATGGCAATCAAGGTCGTGGAGAAAAAAAGTTCGTGGTAATTTTTTTTCATTTTTATAGCGCTTTCAAAACTTCGCTTGCCATTTTTTTTAATCCAGTGGTAAAATTTACGACTGGAGCTCCGGAGAAAGGGGTTTGAATTCCGGTCGGGGACACAAAAACCACTAAGAGCATAAATACTACGTCACAAGTGAAAGATTTGGGCAAAATCTTTTTATAGCTGTGTCAATTGATTATTCTTAGGCTTCAAAAACGAAGCCAATAATCAGAATTCAATTACTCACCAGCTTTTAAGTTCTGGGCAAAATATCAACTGGTTTGTTACATCCTAGAGTTACCTGCTGTCTCACTCGATTCAGGTTCGAGACAAAACATGTTATATTTTTCAGGTGAAAATGTCATTAACTTACGCTCAATTAGGCAAAAACTATTGGGAAAGGGCAGAAAACGCAGGTGATTGGTATTATGAGCAATTGTCAGGGGCATTGGAAGGTGAAATTGGGATTGCTGCTATAATCGAGATTATTGTTGACAAGCAAGAAAATCTGAGGGAAAGAGATCTTCACGTGATGGCATTGTGGATTGTGGTTAGCCTAATTTTCCGATGAAAATAACCTTCTTAGATTTGCAAATTATTTGAGGCAGCAAAAATATCGGGGTGGGGAAGGCCTACTTTATTTTTTTTACTCTTTGACTATCCAGAGGGTCTTACGACATTCATTTTGGTGAACCAAAACTAAAGTTTTTTGAAAGCGTTTTCGAAAAGCGTCAAAGAAATTCCAAAAGAGCATTGAAATCTTTTTCGTTTAAAGTGTAATAATGGTACCATTTTTTTCTTATGGCACTTAAGAGAGCTGGAAAACTTATTTTCGACCTAGCGTGGAACATCATATATGTGCGTTTTCATGAACTTTGCGTGCAGTGTAAAATCAATTAAACTGAGACCAAAAACTGATTGTAATTGGTTATGATGAGCTCAGTACGGAAATATTTGATAAAAAACATTTAAAACCAATTATTTATTTTAACGAACCTTTTAAAAAGCTCAAAGCTCTTTTTTGGGTAGCTTTAATTGGTTCTCCGAGATAGTGTACTGTTTTGGCAAAAACTATTCGAGCAAAGAAACTGCACGAGAATCAAAGAAACTGCTTTTTAAGAGGATTATGATAGCTTCGATCGATGTGCAAAAACTTCATAGTTTTCCAGAAAACTAATCAAATGAAGAAACATTGAACGAAATCAACCTATTTTTTGATAGCGCGGATTGCTTGATTGCTTCGCCGCAAAAAAAAATATAAAATATTCGAGAAAACAATTGTTCCATGAATGAGTTTCAATCTGGAAATATTTGCCAGTTTTTGCCAGTTTTTTTGAATTCTTATTCAAAAAACAATTAATCGTTGTTTCAAAAGATCAAACATTTAATTCAAGCTAGCTGTTTGGAACCAAATGTGGAAGTTTTCCAGCTGATTTTGGTAATTGTAATTGATTCGCAAAGTTTCAGCTAGCTTTTCTGTAATCAAATCGAAATTCATTTTGAAATTATCAGTTTAAATCAAAAATTAAAAACTTTGTACGCTATTTCGGGAATCTGTAATATTTCTGCTCGGGTGGGCTTTTGTTGACAAAATTTTTTATTTCATTCGATGGGTATTGTTGTCATGGGTTTAAGTTTGATAAGATATTTCACCTGTGATCTATTTTCATAAAGTTATGGGGGCTTAAAGATAACTGTATTGGCCAATTTGGGACAATTAATGCGCGATTGCGCGCTATTAACGCTTAAGCGGAGATTTAATACGTCTTAGAAATTGTTCCAAAGCTTATTTGCCATAAATAATTTGTTATTAGGAGAGAAATCTATCACTTCTTACTTCATTTGGCGTGTGGGGGGATGAGTTTCGCAAAAATTTTTAACTGAAAAGATTTTTTTTTTCATTTAATTTTTCATAATATTATTTTTTTAAATTTGTTTTTTCACATTATTACTGCTCCATAGACCTTAAAAGGCACTCGGGACATTCAGGGCCCAAAGTCTTGGTGAAATATATTTTATACAGAAACTGCGACGATTCAAAATCGAATAACTCGGATGTTTTGATTGCTCACAAGCATTTGAAAAAAATCAAATCATCTAATTAAACAATTAAGGATTAATTGAATTCGTATTTTTGGTTACTTTGATACGGTTTCTGAAAGTCTTTTAAGCTAGCATTTTGCAGAATGAAGGATAGACAACTTTCAAATACATTTGATAGCTTCAATGTATTACAATATACTCAAATAATACTGCTCGCATATCAGGGAAAAGCCTTGAATGTTTCGACTGTCTTTTAACTGTTCTCGCGTAGTTTTCAATTGGAATTTTGAAAAACTAATTTTTTTGGACTGCTGATAAAAAGTGTTAAAATTTGATCGAATTAATATGATCAAATATTTTGTGCCAATTTTGGAACAGTTTTGATTGCGATATAACTCAACGTGAATATGCAAAGCGAAAATAAATGAAGCTTGCCAGTAATTATGTTCTTGTGAGCAAATTGAATTAAGTTTTTTTTCAGAGTGTTCAGAATTGTTTAACAGCTTCAAAAACTGTCAATCAGCAAATTCCTCAAATATTGAATTTTTCTCTTCTGAGAGTTTGAAAGCACCTGCAAACTTGACGAAAAATTTATTCGTCCAGTTTATGTCTATTTGTTATGGTTTGTTTCATTGTAGACATAAACTAGTTGACATAAAAAACCGTTACAAATAGAAATAAATTTGATAAATGAAACCTTTCTGTCCAGTTCGGCAGCTACATCAATTTCTCGACAGAACAAAACTCAACCAAGTTATATGAATGGACAGTTTCTGAACCAGGGGCGGATTTAGGGGGGGGGGCGGGGGGGGGGGGCGGATGCCCTCCCCCTCCCTCAGGGATTCGACCCCCTGCCAACCCAAAGGGTCCCCCTTTGATACTTTTTCAGAAATCCATTTCTGGCCAACCGACCCTTAAATTTTTCTAAAGGTGCCTTCGGCGCCAATATATACTAACTTGTAGGGGAGCGCGCGCCAAAAAAAACACGATTTTTTTGTCAAAATTTTTCAAAAAGTGCCCAAAAACGGCTTTTTTGACTGTTTTTTTAAAAATTTGCCTGCGGCGCAGAAAATTAAGCCAAAATAGGGGCAAAACAGTGCTCTGGGAGAGCTCGAAAAATCAATTTAGTCGACCTAAAAAAAAAAAAAAGGTCGTCAAATTTTGGAAAATTTTTTTAAAATCCGACCCCCCCCCCCCCCCCCCCCCCCTCGAGAAAATCCTAGATCCGCCCCTGATCTGAACCTTTTTTTTATTCTAACCGAAAAAATTGTTTAAAAGTCAGACTTTGAATTAATGAAGTTTATAACTTTCCAGCAATTTTTCTAGAGGCGAAAAACTCAAAAATTAGCATAAAATAATGTTCGGGTGCTGGAAAAGGTTTTTTTTTGTAATTTGTAACCGTTCTCAATTAGACACAACTGATTTTAAATTTACATTTTCTAAGAAACCTTTCTGCACATTTTTGCAGCCATAAAACTTTTTATCTATCAAAAAAGTATTTTCACGCTTATTTTCTAGCGGTAAGCTACAAAACAAAAGCCTCAAACGATGTCAGGGATATAAGTTTGAAGCCGGTTTTGATTTTACGGTAATTTAAGACTATCAAACTTTTAAAATCCATCACGGAATCGCATTTTGATCGATCTGTTTCTTTGTGCACGGAGCATAATTTGCCCCTGTGAGATCACATTGTGGGTGGGCCTAATTTTATACATTTTATATCAAACTTAATAGCCAGAAATGTTTTCATTGCCATTAAAGCGCATTTGAAACGTTAAGGGTTGCGAACTGTAAAAGCAGTCTTGTGTTTTTTATTCAAACCTAACAAACTGGCCCCTTGGGACGTTAAACAACTTTTTTCTTTTCTAAAACTGATGAAAAAGACAATCATTTGCATGGAAAGTTCAAGGAAATTATTTTAAAAAGTTATGATTATACACTGAAAGTTTTATCGGTTTGGATTCCCGTTTTCATAATTCAGCTTGGAATCTTTCGGCATGATGACCAACTCCTATGGAAGCTCATTACTACGATTCAAACTTTTAAAACCGAATGATTTGCAAAAACGCGACAGTTTTCAGCTCCATAAAAAAAACGAAAACAATCAAAAGAAAAAAAAACGGTTTTTATGCAAAAAATTAAATTCTAATTAAGAAACAATTGAACTTTTTATGATAGTTTCTCAAACTGCTAAATTGTGTTCTGAATTGAAATCAGAAACACAACTATTAATCTTTTACCATATGTTCTGACTTGAAATCAGAAACATAAATTCTTAAACTTTTACCATATGTTCTGACTTGAAATAATGTGTTTGCTCGGTTGATAAAATATCACCAAAAGCAAACATTACAGCATGTGTTGTTTCTTTCTGATTGGTTTAACCAACAGATGGAATGTTGAAAATATCAAAATCTATGGTATATAAGCCAAGCGAAAATATACCAAATATCACTTCATCACTTTCTCAAAATCTCAAATCTCACAACCACTCTCATACTGAGACCCCCAACCATCCTAATAACCAAAATCTCAAATCTCTATCTCGATAACTATCAATCCATACCCCAATGTCTCTTGAAATAAAATTGATGTGTGTCCTCTATATTTGAAATATTATACCTATTTACGAGTGAACGAAACTTTGTCTGTTGAATAAGAATAGGAAAGTCTTAGCAACATTCAGAAAGACCCCTTGTTCTAACTAGCTGCGATTTGGTCGATCGCATAAGTTAAGTCAATTTAGTTTGGAATAATTGGTGCGCCCAGTGAGGCACACAAGTTTCAAAAATTGACTCAAATTTCAAAATCTCAAAAAACTGAGATTATCAAAATTTCAAAAATTGAAAATTTCAAAAGTTGAAATTATCAAAATTTCAAAAAGTTGAAAAGTTCGAAAATTGAGATTATCAAAATTTCAAAAGGTTGAAAATTTCAAAAGTTTAAAATTATCAAATTTCAAAAAGTTGAAATTATCAAAACTCAAAAATTGAACTTATCAAAATTCCAAAAAATTGAAAATTTCAAAAGTTGAAATTATCAATATTCAAAAAGTTGAAATTATCAAAAACTCAAAAATTGAAATTCTTAAAGTTTCAAAAAGTTGAAAATTTCAAAAACCGAAATTATCAAATTTCAAAAAGGTGAAATTATCAAATTTCAAAAGTTGAAATTATCAAAATGTCAAATTTTTAAACTTTCATTAAGTTGAAATTATCAAAAATTCAAAAATGAAATTATCAAAATTTCAAATTTTTAAACTTTCATAAAGCTGAAATTATCA